TGGCTACTACATAAATTAGTTTGCTCTGGAGCTGTTCTTCGTGAGCTAAGACAAAAATGTGTGAGCCAGAGGCTAAAAAACTGTGAGCTAGCTCACACTAACTCAGCTTAGAGGGAAAACTGGCTGCCACCACTCCCTGCAGCTGTGAATTCCACTGGAAGACTTATACTTTAAGACAAATCTGGTTCCTCACAATCATAGGAAGCTGTGCGAGTCCCCTCAGTGGGCAGAAAGTGCCTGTCACGCCCACGTTGTGATTTTTAAAACTCAGTTATGCCCAGACGTGATAGGTAACAACTTCTGCTTATGCAGTCTTGATGTGTGAAGTGTCTGCTGTGCTTCTGCCAGTAACTGAGGGACTTGAGGGAGTCTACTCAGCATGAGAGTTCTCTTGCGTGAAGGACTGTTTTGGGAGGACACGGTTAACGAGGTTGTATTAATCGAGCAAAATGCTTTAACCACCTGACTGTGTTTGCATATCAGCGCACACCAGTCGCAGGCGTGGGGATTTGCAAATATACGTGGTGCAAGACGGAAATTTTACGGACACAGGAAACCTGATTTTAAAAATTCATTTTATGTCAAGGAATGTATTAAAACATAGCATTGCCAGTTCTGGATCCCTCATTATTTGCTGTGGGATATGTCCCCCCACCCTTTAAGAGAATCCTTTGGGGGGGTTTTGTTCCTCTATTGCAAAGTAGCAGATCAACGGCAATCTTTTCTTTTTAAAAAAAACCTGGTGCTGTTTTTCCTTTCCCATCCCTTACCACTTTTGCTCCTTTTCTTCTCTTTCTGTATTTCCTTTACAGCGGCTCCACGTAAAGTCTGATTCTGAGCACCACATGTTTCAGAGACCCTCCTCCTTTTTCTGGTGTAGTGCGGAGGACGCATCTCCTTGTTTAGATATCTCGTCCATTACGCTCACGCCCATGAGCTCTCCCGACTCCAGGCACTCATCTGGGCTGTTAACGCCACCGCCTTCCAAAAGTGGTCTTCCCAAGGCAGTCCATGAACACAGCATTCCGAGACCTCATGTAACCCCGATGAGCACAAGCAGTTCCTTTCTATTATTAGCGTTTCAAGCCGTTCTCTCTCGCTCGTATATGAATTGTATCAGGGTGCTACATTTTGTACAGTGGTTAAAGGACAGACCAGTTGCGTTTAATATCCTTTAACAGCAAAGACTTTGAGCAATGCTAACCCTTTGTGTCATCCATTCGAGTCACCAAAGAGTTTTTACCCAAATGCTAGAGCGTCCCCCGCATGATGTGCCCGGTGTGATGACATCACTTCCGGGTGATGTCATTGCATTGGGTGTGATGGGGTTCTTCAGGAGTGGGGCTCCCCCCACCGGCCAGTTGGCTGGCAGTGGATTGGGGGGCCTGAAAGAAGGGGAACCCCCCGCCCCCATCAGGGGGGGGTTTGGCAACCCTAGAACAATTCTGTTAGAGGAAATGGTTGCTTTGGAGGGTAGGCTGTATGGCATTATACACTGTTGAGCTTTCCCCAAATCCCACTCTCCCTAGGCCCCAAATCTCCAGGAATATCCCAACCTAGAGCTGGCAACCCTATCTAATGCTGTATGTTCCCAACATTTCAAGCATTCTGTTGGCAACCTTGTGCTAGATTACTTGTGTGGGCTGGACACGCTGGCAGTTTAAGTAAGAGTTTTGCACCTAAATCACTCTAAGAGGGGGAAAGTCTGATAGGAATCAAGGCTACTTACTCCAGAGTACATCCATTTAATATCTCAGCTGGTAGATGATAGTAACAGCATTGCTTATACCACTTTGCAAAATAGATACTATTAAAAGAAAAACAGATCCCTGCCTTTAGGTTAATAATCTAAAAGTGAAAGTCTCTGAATTCTGATTGGACACATACATTTTCCCAGGGTTATTGTTTGGGGGGGTTGATGCCGATACTCACCAGTACTTTTCCAAGTCCTAAGGGGAAAATTGGTAAGAATCAGTGCAATCTAATATATGAGTATTAGATTATTTTTTTTTAAGTGCTTTCTTTTTTATTGAGGAAGAGAGTAAGAATATGGAAGGTGTGGGAGATCAGTAGGAGGAATGGAGTGTTTAATTTGCGTGATTGCAGTTCATTTTAACTCTGTGCAAAATGAAGGATGCCCGTTGCTTATTTCAAAGATTCGTTGTAGCGTGCTTCCTGACAGTTTTAAAAAAAAATGGGCTGATACAACTTTTTTTCCCTTCCGTTTGCGATTAAAAGTTGGCTGTTCTTGGCAAACGTTGTGGCTTTGTGCATGGGGATAACGCAATAAAAATGCTTCTCGTGGTCATTCGGGTATTGCTAGCTTGCATTTATTTGAAAATGGAAGATCTCCTTGAAAACCGATTCTAATTCCTTCATGTCCTTAAAATTTTTTATTTACTTATTTACTTAAAACATTTATTAGCCCACCTTTCTTCCTTCTGGAGATCAAAGCGATTTACAGTATAAATAAAATACATAAAGTAAATTACATAGTGATGCATGAAACCAAAATTTAAAAACACAACTTAGAACTGCTTTTGGTTGAGGCAGTGGATGCCCCCCCCCCAGCTTCTCTGACCATAGTTTTCTTGGCCCAGCTTTTTCCGGCCAAATTGTCCACCAGTGGCCTGACTCTGACTGGTCATCTGACTACCTCTACAGTTACATGGCATTTTGTGATATCTGCCAGTTTGGAGATTCAGTTTGGTGTAGTGGTTAAGTGCGCGGACTCTAATCTGGGAGAACCGGGTTTGATTCCCCTCTCCTCCACTGGCACCTGCTGGATGACCTTGGACAAGTCATAGTTCTGACAAGAGCTGTTCTTGAAAAAGAGCAGTTTCTGTCAGAGCTCTCTCAGCTCCACCTGCCTCACAGGGTGTCTGTTGTGGGGAGGGGAAGGGAGAGGAGTTTGTAAGCCGCTCTGAGACACCTTTGGGTAGTGAAGGGCAGGGTATAAATCCAATCTCTTCTTCTTCTTTTACCTCACAAGGGTGTCTGTTGTGAGGAGAGGAAGAGAAAGGAGTTTGTAAGCCGCTCTGAGACACCTTTGGGTACTGAAGGGTGGGGTATAAATCCAATCTCTTCTTCTTTTACCTCACAAGGGTGTCTGTTGTGAGGAAAGGAAGAGAAAGGAGTTTGTAAGCCGCTCTGAGACACCTTTGGGCAGTGAAGGGCGGGGTATAAATCCAATCTCTTCTTCTTTTACCTCACAAGGGTGTCTGTTGTGGGGAGGGGAAGGGAAAGGAGTTTGTAAGCCGTTCTCAGACACCTTTGGGTAGTGAAAAGCGGGATATATATCCAATCTCTTCTTCTTCTTATGTGTAAATTGTTATTTTAATACTGTTTTAGTTGTATTATTTAACTGTTGTACACTGCCCTGAGCCCATTTGGGGAGGGCGGTATATAAATCTAATAAAATCAATAAATAAATAATTTAATCAATTGCAGTCCTATTTAAAAAAAAAATCTTCACCTACCTCCTTAAGATGAACAGTGAGGGGGCCAAATGCACCTCCCTGGGGAGGTTGTTTCATAGTTGTGGGGCTGCCACTGAAAAGGCCCTCTCTGTGTACCCAACAAACGAGCTTCTTTGGTGAGGGACCCATCCCTGTGATGCTAATTCCCGGACAGAAGCATATCCGTAATGGAGGCATCATTAACGTATGCACATCATATATGTGGTTGTATAGATTTCACAGTGTTTGGAGTGTGTTCCTATGGTGGGTCGTGGTAAACTTAGTTAGAGTTGCTTGGTGCAAAGCACAGACTTCTGTAAAATGTGAACGCCATGAAGATGCTGTAAACTTTAGCTGAGGTGTATTCCAGGGCTCTTTTTGTAGCAGGAATACCTTTGCATATTAGGCGACACACCCCTAATCTAGCCAATCCTCCCAGAGCTCTTCTTACAGGGGCTACTGTAAACTCTTGGAGGACTGGCTACATTAGGGGTGTGTCGCCTAATATGCAAAGGAGTTCCTGCTACAAAAAGACCCTGTGAGCAAGGAGGAAGCCTCTTCTGTGAAAATATGGCACCGATGTCTCCTTTTTGCATTGGTCAGTATAGGTCCTGTGCATTCAGATTGACCAAACTGGAGATTTCTTTGCAAGCCAGTTCAGATTTTCGAAGTTTTCCTAAATATGTTTGCCGCAATGTTAGTAAAATAACGTTATGTCTTAATTTCCTGAGGAGGGGGCAAATTTTTCCTTGCTTAGCTTTTCTGCCGGCTATCGGTTGACCCCTTGTAGATCTTTATATTGTGTTTAGAATGCTGTTGCTTAAAGAATAAAGATAAAATGAGCATCAGATAGGACTGTTAATCTTACTCAAAGGGAACGTAACAGCGAATGTTATTTTGCTGAGCAAACGAAAATTCGTGGCTTGATTTAATGCAGAGAACTTTGTGGCGCTAAGTGAAAATTATATTTTGGACTGAATATAATATTCATTGACATTAACTTGCTGATATCCAAATGACTCCTTTATCACAGAAAGACTTACCGGTTTTTGAACAACTGCTGTCAGAGTCTTCATCCTATTATACAGGATGGACTTAAAATGAAATCCAAGTTCCGTCTCTTAATTTCAGGCACCAGTTTTGATTTATAACCTGCGGCCCTGTTAAATGGATCTTTGGCATTTTATCTCTCCTTTCAGAACCGTTCATATATATATATTTTTATATATATATATATATATATATGTATATATTTTCTCACTCCTCTGTGTTGAAAGCCATTTATTTCTGGGTATGCCCGCCGTGATTAAAATGTGCAATGTGACGATCCAGGTTGCGTCTACGCAGGTTTCAGCATGCCTCGCAAAACCTCGGGCTGCAAGGGCCGCTCTTTCTCCATTGGAGCTCTTTGTCGTTGCATGCCACTGTGCTTGGATGCTGTCGCTGTTATCTTCTGCATGCATGCAAAAAAAAAAAAAAAATCTAAATATTGTGATTTTGCCCTATGAATTATTGCCCTAATGTTTATTGTCCTTATTGTAGGCAGGCAGTGTGACACCTAAATCACCCTCCACTGACATCTTTGATATGGTCCCCTTTTCTCCCATGTCCCCCCAGTCATCAACACCTACTCGCAATGGCACGCAGCCTCCGCCAGTGCCCAGTAGATCTGCAGAGATCAGTAAGTCCTGTGATGCATGACCTTCTCTTTTTTGCTTACGTTGTGGGTTTTCTTTCTTCCAAACAGCAAAAACGACTGGTTTCCATCTTTATGCCATTCCAAATGCAGCTTTGGGGGGGAGGGAACCATACAACGGACAATTGTAGGGTTCTGTCCCCCGCCCCGCCCCTTGCGGCCCATCTGATCCTTTGGTGTAGGGACCGATTCGAGTAGTAAGTAACGCCACAGAAACGAAAATGCTCTACACGATCTGATGCAGTTTTGCTTGGAATTATAACTTCTCTGTGCTAATTGCCGTGTGTTCTTTTCTTTTAAGTGTAATTGTGTGTGCCCCTCCCTCCCTTTGGCTGTTAAGGGATGTTCGTTGATCGAAACATGCTAGAGAAATGAACGTAGTGACGTAAATTGAAAGCCTTCTCTCAGGTGGTTGTTTTCTACCTGTCGTCAATGTCACTGGAGTTCTTTTCTTCCAGGCTGGCAGTCATGCCAGTCTCTTAGAGTTCCCTCTGGTTTGCTTCAGTGCAGGAGGGGGAAAGTAGGGGTTATTCCATGTTCCTGTGAGCAGTGTTCCCTCTAAGCTGAGTTAGTGGGAGCTAGCTCACAGTTTTTTAGCCTCCGGCTCACACATTTTTGTCTTAGCTCAGGAAGGATGGCTCCAAAGCAAACTGATTTATGCAGCAGCCAAATTGCTCGCTCACAACTTTAATACCCGTAGCTCACAAAGTAGATTTTTTTGCTCACAAGACTCCACAGCTTAGAGGGAACATTGCCTGTGAGCAGAGATAATGTGACTCTCTAATAACCCCAGTATTGATAATAGCTGTGTTATGCATCGAATGGTCTCTCTGAAGCATCCCAAAAGCGGTAGCAGTCAGGAGTTGCCAGGTCGTCCCAAAATATGTTAACATTTTACCACCATTTATTCAAGTGCCTGCGGTTACAATTGCCCTGCCTTGGATGACCCACGTTAGCCTGACCTTGGCAGATCTCGGAAGCTAAGCAGGGTCGGCCCTGGTTAGTATTTGGATGGGAGACCACCAATGAAGTCCTCCTGAACTGCTATGCAGAGGCAGGCAATGGCAAACCTGAATGTCTCTTTTTCACTGAAAACCCTGTCGGGGTGCCATAAGTTCACTGCAACTTGATGGTATTTTCCATCGCCACCACCACAAGGAAGATAGCAAGTGATTTGGAAATCTCAAAACATATGACTGCCCCTCTCTGGGGACAGTGATCTTGGAAGCTAAGCAGGGTTGACACAGGTTGGTATCTGGATGGAAGACCACCAGTGAAGTCCTGAGTTGCTACACAGAGGCAGGCAATGGCAAACCACCTCTGAATGTCTCTTGCTTTGAAAGGCCTATGGGGGTCACCGTAAATCAGCCGCAACTTAAGAACATAAGAACATAAGAGATGCCAATGTTGGGTCAGGCCAAAGGCCCACCCAGTCCAACACTCTGTATCACACACTGGCCAGAAATACCAGGTGCCATCAGGAGGTCCACCAGTGGGGCCAGGACATTAGAAGCCCTCCCACTGTTGACCCTCCCAAGCACCAAGATGACAGAGCATCACTTGCCCCAGAGCCCCTATCTATACCTTGTGGCTAATAGCCACTGATGGACCTCTGCTTGACCTTTCCTTCATCACCACCACTTGACCTTTCCTTCATCACCACCACCACAAGGAAGATACCAAGTGATCTGGAGATCTCAAAACTTACAGCCACCCTCTCTGGGGCAGTAATCTGGGTGGTTCCTGTTGAGGCTTCTGGAAAGTACTTAATCCTGGCCTGCCTTTGCTCCTTGTGATGCCTCATAGCCAAAGAAAACAGGGAACTCCCAATCTGGAGGCAGCCCCGAAACTTGTGTGATGGAATCTTCAAAGCAGAGTGCGCCATCTTTGTTGTAAGGGGAAATCGTTGAAAATTTTGGAACCTCCAGAGGAAATGAGCTGGAGAGTTGTGTAAGTGACTGAAGAGAAGGGAGAGAAATCTGCAATTACTGTAGGCATTCACACCCCTGACGCGATGAATCTTTGATATGCATTCAAGCCAGTTGCATAAGACTCCGATGTTTTTGTGGATGAAAGGGGTTTTAGCCGACCTAGGAAACTATGCTCTAACCATGACGGACATTGAATGCATTGGGCTTCAAAACTGGCTGGGTTCTTTTGCCGGAGATGATTCCTTGCTTTTATTTTAGTTTCCTTTCTAAGACTCATAGGCCTTCCCACAGGCCATGATGGACCGGGAGATTTTTCTTCTAGAAAGGATTTTTGCTAAGTATTTGAAATGTCAGCATGTTCCCTGTTCATTCAGGAGAAGCTTGGGAGCAGTGTTCCCTCTAAGCAGAATTAATATGAGCTAGTTTTTTGGCCTCGGGCTCACATATTTTTGTCTTAGCTCAGGAAGGATGGTTCCAGAGCAGACTAATTTATGCAGCAGCCCAATCACTTGCTCACAACTTTAATGCCAGCCGCTCATAAACTAGAATTGTTGCTCACAAGACTCCACGGCTTAGAGGTAGCATTGCTTGGGAGTGAACACATTCCACACTCAGAGCCCAGTGAACCAACACAACTGGTTTTTAAGAAGAAGAGTTGGTTTTTATACTCCACTTTTCTCTATCCTCCGGGAGTCTCAAAGTGGCTGATAATCGCCTCCCCTTCCTCTCCCCACAACAGGTACCTCGTGAGGCAGGTGGGGCTGAGAGAGTCCTGAGAGAACCGTGACTGGCCCAAGGTCACCCAGCAGGACTCATGTGTCTCAAAGTGACTGACGATCAGCTTCCCTTCCTCTCCCCACAACAGGCACCTTGTGAGGCAGGTGGGGCTGAGAGAGTCCTGAGAGAACCGTGACTGGCCCAAGGTCACCCAGCTGGGCTTATGTGGCGGAAGAGTGGGGATTCAAACCCGGTTCTCCAGATTAGAGGCCACCACTCTTAATTACTACAGCACACTGGCTCTTTAAGTGAACTCCCCCCCCCCAGAATAAGGGCTGAAAGAAGAGTCCCTTCAGAAATCTTAGTTCTGAACCATGTCCACAACATTTACAGTAGAATCAGAAACCTACAAGAACCATCTGAGACCATTCAGTAATTTTCCTGCAAAGTACCTTTATTCTGCTAGGAAAGTTAAGAAAGGCTGCAATCTTCAGAATGCTTTCCAAGCATCATTGAATAAAATTGGGCTTACTTCCAAGTAGACCTGTTTAGGATCACTCCCACAGTCCCTTAAATTAGGGCACTGAGTCCAAGCTGAGGAGTTCCAGGTTCACCTCTCTTCTCAACTGGGAGCTCACAAACCCTCCTACAGCCGAACGACCCCATCCCTGACTATCTGTAATGTGAGGGTAGTAATACTGACCTACCTTATAGGGTTGTTGTATCAACTGCTCAAAGGGGAAATCTCAGTGGCAGATCCCGCATCCGTAGGAGATCAGACAACAGGTCTCTCTGTTCACTGAATTCACATTCCCATTATAATAAGCTACAGTCGGCTCATTCTGTAGATGCAATACTGGTTACTTTTGAAAGTACCGTCTTCGCTTTAGACCAGGGATCCCCAACACAGTGCCCACTAGTGCCACGGTGCCCGCCAACACCTTCTCTGGTGCCTGCCAAGTGTTTTCAGATAGTGGGTGTGGCCAGGCGGGGCTCTTGCCCAGCATGGCTTCTGATTGGCCACTGAAGATCTGATTGGCTGTGCTGATTAAAATAACGTTGCCGTGGTGGCAACGTTTGCTTTGTCGAAGTCGCCCCTCTTCTTCACTGGACTTGGACTTTCTCGGGGGGTGACTGTAGCTCCACCTCCTGCGGCAGCCATTTTGTGACTCAGCCCGTGACCCCGTGTCAGAATTCCAAATGTGCCCGCAGGTCAGGAAAAGGTTGGGGACCCCTGGCTTTAGATACCGTGTGTCGCAAAATTCGAAAGAGCTACATCAAATTTAAACCCTACTCTTCTGAATCCAGTCCAGTCTTCTGAATTAGTCCTAACCACCTTTTGCATACTGCTTTCCAAACGCCTCTCAGGATAGCGTTGTGGTTGAGAAAGGCATACGGCAGACAGCCTGATTCAGCCTCTGGAGCATCTGCAAACAATCAGACTTATATTCCTGTTTGAGTCTGTACATTTTTACACAGTGAGTTGTATTGTGGTGGGAAATGTATGCGGGATGCAGGAGAGCATTGGGGAGCCTGAGATTATAGAGGCAATATTCTTTTTTTATTATGAGAAAAGGCACACATTTGTTCCTCGAGTAAAACGGAGAGTAATTGTAACGGAAACCTTTTCGAAGAAACACAAAACGCCAGTAAAGAAAAGAGCAACTAATGCGAAAGGAATCGGTTAAAGATTTCCCGTCGCTAGTTTCCTACGTACAGAAATTTCGGAATGCTCCCTGTGTAAATGTTGTGATTCTCTCACCGGCCTCTGTTCCGATATGGTACAGTCCACTGTTCCCTCTTAGCTGAGTTAGTGTGAGCTAGCTCACAGTTTTTTAGCCTCCGGCTCACACGTTTTTGTCTTCGTTCAGTAAAGACGGCTTTAGAGCAAACTAATTTATGTAGCCAAATCACTTGCTCATAACTTGAATGCCAGTAGATCACAAAGTAGAATTTTGGCTCACAAGACTCCACAGCTTAGAGGGAACATTGGTACAGTCCCATAAACCCTGCAGTTCCAGCACCTTTCCTCCAGACTTGCAGAATACTATCCACCGGCTCTATAACCGGATGACGATAAAATGAACCGGTGTTGGCAGCATGTCAGTCTGCTTGTACTTACTTAATATATACAAGGGGGACCAGCAATTCAAAGTAGTACAACAATAATAATAAGAAATTGCTGTAAGGTTCACAAATCACAATGAATAGACAATAACAACTTGTACAAAAATGACGCTTGATGATGTTTATAATTTCTATGTTTTCAGAACACAGGACATCAAATACGGAAGGTGAGCAATACGAACATCTCGAGTGGTTGTTCGTTTCGAGACAACTCTTTTTCAACCAAAATTCAGTTCTCTGGTTGTCTTATTGTGTTTAGCTGTGATATCAATCTTATCCAACATCCGTTTCAAAAGCACATGGGCTAACAAGTTTTAACAGCACAATTTAAAATTTGGTAGCCTTTGTGCTGTTAAAACTTGTTAGCCCATGTGCTTTTGAAACGGATGTTGGATAAGATTGATATCACAGCTAAACACAATAAGACAACCAGAGAACTGAATTTTGGTTGAAAAAGAGATGTATCGAAACGAACAACCACTCGAAATGTTCGTATCGCTCACCTTCCGTATTTGATGTCCTGTGTTCTGAAAACATAGAAATTATAAACATCATCAAGCGTCATTTTTGTACAAGTTGTTATTGTCTATTCATTGTGATTTGTGAACCTGACAGCAATTTATTATTATTATTGTTGTGTTGCTTGTACTTACTTACCTGGGGAAATGCTCCTGGACACTTCTCAAATGCCCACTTGTACAGGCTTATGGGAAGGTGTTGCATAAATGATTTCTGAGAAAGGCACGTGGAATTCATTTGTTTAGAAATAAAACCATACGCGAGCCAAGCATCATAAACCCATCAAGCAGCAAAAGAGACAGAGAGAGGAGAGAGACAGAGAGAGGAGAGGAGAGGGAGAGAGAGAGGGAGAGAGAGAATGGACACAGCACTGGACAACGGCTAGACGTTTTTTAAAAGACTTGTTGGGTGATAGTGAGATATTGAAAAAAAGGGTATTTAGCAGAGATAAGATGGTCCGGCAGTGCCAGAGTAAAATAATTCAGACTGAGAGTCCACGTGTGATTAAAATATAAAGTTTTTACTAAATTCTAGCATGGGAAGGGTAACTGGGATGAAAATAACAACAGAGCATAATAGGCTACATCCTTACTCTACAAAGACAAAACTAGAAGAGGGAGATTATGGCTGCTCTTCTTGCTCTTCAGAACACCAAACAAAGACGGGAAGAGAAGCCATAAAATGGTAATACACCTTGGCACTTTAGTCCCAATCAAATCCCTAGATCAGGGAGAAAATTCCCGGGCTTTCTACATCTAAAGAACATTGGTTACATGAGAAACATGTGACTTCCTGTGAGTAACATAAACAGACATTTAACCCCAGATATACTGAGTGTTTTCAACTTGTAATACCCAATAAGACTGCAGTAGATTTTCACTTGAAGGTAAACAAGACCCAGGTGTGCGCTTGGACAGAGTGTTCCAAAGCAGTGGAGACAATTACGGAGAGCGTCACCCAGGGGTCATTTCATAGAAAAAGAGCTAGGGGAACTCATTAGCATAACTCATTAGCATATACCACACCCCCTGACATCACCGGAAGTGTGTCATAAGACCCCACACCCCACCCCCAACAGTCCTGGCCGCCGCCAGCCTTGCAGCTCCACTGCCGAGCCCCATGAGGGGCCCGGCGGTGGACCTGCAAGGCCGGCGGGAGTACAAGGAAGCCCTGCGAAGGCCCTCCCTGGCCCCAGGCAGGCAGGGGTGGGGAGAGGCAGGGAGGAAGCAACTTACCCTCCCTCTTCTCCTGCCTCCTCCTGGCTGAATGAGGGCCGGAAGTGGGGCGGCCGGAAGCAGGGGGCGGGGCTTCGCCATGTGCCCCGCCCCCCTCTACCTCACCCAGGGGAACTGCGATCCCCCGCGATTCCCCCCCAAAATGACCTCTGGCATCACCGCACCTCTAATGGCAGGGTGGGCCTAGAGCAGAGCCTTCAGTGATTATTTAGGGGTACAAGCAAGTTCCTGTGGAAGAAGGAAGTTCCACCAATACTACCAACTTAACCCCTTGAAAACAGTATAGCTCAAGATCCAAAGGGGCTATCAGAAGTAGTGTTCCCTCTAAGCTGAGTTCGTGTGAGCTAGCTCACAATCTTTTACCCGCTCCCACTCACAGATTTTTTGTCTTAGCTCAGGAAGGAGTGGCTCCAGAGCAAACTAATTGATGCAGCAGCCAAATCGCTCGCTCACAACTTTAATGCTGGCAGCTCACAGAGTAGATTTTTTGCTCACAAGACTCCAAGGCTTAGAGGGAGCATTGGAAGCTACCCATTTTAAAGGCCTTTGTTTGAGCAGGAGTCGGCTCTGTGGGAAGAGAATACTAATCGAGCTACACCTCGCCTCTTTAACTGAGCTTTCTTTTTTTAATGTATTCACGTTATTTATAGTCACCTTTCTCACTTGGATTCAAGACGGATTACGTAGAGCGAGTCAATGCCGTCAACAGGGTGGGACGTTCGATAAGCAATGCAATAAGGTTAGGGTTGTAGAATCAAACAGAAGTCTAAAAACAGGACTGAAGCAAAGCATGAATATTGACACGTTAAATGACGCACAAATTACATAGTAGGATCCTACTTACAGGAAGCTGTATGAACATAAGAGACGCCAATGTTGGATCAGGTCAATGGCCCTTCCAGTCCAACACTCTGTGTCACACAGTGGCCAAAAATACCAGGTGCCATCAGGAGGTCCAGCAGTGGGGCCAGGACTCTAGGAGCCCTCCCACTGTTGCCCCCCCAGGCACCCAGAAGGCAGAGCATCACTTGCCCCAGACCAAGAGTCCCTGTCTATACCTTGTGGCTAATAGCCATTGATGGACCTCAACTCCATATGTTTATCCAATTCCCTCTTGAAGCCGTCCATGGTTGTAGCCGCCACCACCTCCTGTGGCAGTGAACTCCATGGGTTAATCACTGTTTGGGTGAAGAAACTATACACAGCATGTTTAGACCAAGGTCCCTAATAATTTTCCCAAATAACTTTGTGTATCATTTAGTACAGCACAACTCTATTGCCTGTCTAGAAAAGCCCTTTGAATCATTCAGTTCTACATAGTTTTCGGACAGCCGTTGGAGTAGGAGCCACCGGGGCCACAACAGAGAAGGCACATGTATGGGTGCCATTTGCACAAAAACAGAGCAAAAACCAATAAGCCGAGGGTTGCTTCTTGTAACTTCTTTGTTTTGTTCAGCATCTGTTTTGCATCTGTGACTTTAGAGTGATCACTCCTGTTTCTGAATTACTGGCAAACCTATCATAAAGAATTTTGTGGTCTGTAGAGATATTTGCTAAAAATCCCTGTAATCGGCTTGTGATCATCTCTAGAAACCTTCTTTAAGGGGGCAAAGACAGACTCAATTGAATCAGCCCCAGTCGGGTGTCTGCTTCTCTTGGGAGGAATGGGACGCCCTGTTCTAGAAGGGCTTTCTCCAAGTTCTAACCCTCTGGGACACCAAATAACATTGGTTACAGTTATTGCTGTTTTGGACATCTACGCGAATATTCGTTCCAGCGAACTAAGTGCTTAAGGCTGACATCACACACCCTGCAGATTTCCACTATTCCCTCTGTTTTATTGGGTTGGCTGCATTTGAGCCATAGGAGGGCGAGTCACTTTTCTGTTCAAAGCAGGTTTTTAACCCACAGGTGGGTGGTGGGAAAGATACATGGCAGCTGAGTAACACTGGAGGCGAAAGGGTTACGGAGCACGTATCCGCATGAACTTCCCACTTACAGTTGTCTTATCCTACTTCTGGTTCTAGAAAAAGGACAACTCCCCCCAAAAAGGAATCACATGTCGAATCACGTTTCGAGGTGAATTTGTGTACAATCCACTTCCCGTTATGCTGCTCGTGTACTTACTTGTTTTTTTTATTATTATTATTATTCTTTCTAGAGAGAGACCTTTTTGGAGCAGAACCATTTGACCCTTTTAGCTGCGGAGCCGGAGATTTCCCTCCAGACATTCAGTCCAAACTAGATGAGATGCAGGTGATCAAATATTTACCTTTGCGGGAAAGTTGTTTCCATTGCTGTGTAAACGCTGAACCCTTAAGAGCGAGACCAGATCATACAGCGGGCCCTGTGATCAGAGCCTGTGAAATGTTTGATGTTGCCAGTGTGGGGAGGGGGGGGGGAGCAAATTCAGTTAACAGCGGCTTTTCAAACATCTGTGGAGTAGCAGTTTCTCCGCTGCCCTGGAGGTTTTTATGCCGTGCATTTCGCACACTTTGTCTCTAAGCTCCCATGGGAGGGAAGTGGGTCTAAGATCACCACGTGTGCTTCCTCTGAAGAAAGAGCATTGATTTCATGAGAAACTACACTAAGGATTATGGTTTTTGACTGCTGCAAAATAAGTACAGTCCTATTCAGATCATGCCCGCTGCCAAAAAAGCAGCAGAATTTATGTGGGGTGCGTGTTTGTTCTAACAAATGCTCAAGTTATGCTAGTACTGACCAGATCCATGCAAACATGGCATTATTGAATCCCTTCACTAAATTTTAATCTACCATTTTGGCATTGTGTGCAGAACACATATACATATACTATGGGTCCCCAACATTTTGCCTGTTATGGCGCCTGCCAACCTGTTTCCCAGAGCTTGCCAGGTCCTTTTAGAAAATGGGCAGGGCTGGGTGGGGCTTTTGCCTAGCAAGGTTCTTGATTGGCTGTGCAGAGTAAAGGGCATCCTGTTAAAGAGTATCTGCCTGAAATGTTGAAGAATTATCATTAAAGTTATAATCTCACTCCCTGATATTTTGTTGTTGGCTCCACCCCCTGTGGAAGCCATTTTGTGATTGGCTCCACCTCCTGGCAGCAGCCATTTTGTGATTGCGCCCACCACTCTGTGCCAGAATTTCAAAGGTGCTCGCCACTTGGAGAAGGTTGGGGACCTCTGACATATACTGTCCTCTTCTATGCATGGTAGCTCATCATATCCATCCTGCCTGTTCCTGTGTCTCGTTTAGCCCTTTGTAGATTCCTTCAATATGTCCCCCAACCCTATACGCATAACAGACCTATGCTTATCAAATACATCTGTCCACCAACCCTGCTCCTGTTCCTAACTGGCTATTGATCCATTCCTCACAGGATGTCATGACAACCTGTTTTCACCTCCTTGGTTTACAAATGGCCCCTTTGGAAGGTGAACTCTGTGGCATTACAGTCGATTAAAGATCCTCCCCTAAATCTCGCCCTCCTCTGGCTCCACCCCCAAAATCTCTAGGTATTTCCCAACCCAAAGCTGGGAACCCTAGTTCATAAGCAATGAACGAATAGTGAACCTCCTTCAGCAGTGAAAATCTAGTTGATTTTGACCTGTACAAAGTGGAGCTGCGGTGGCTCAAGTGGTTAAGACGCTGAACTGCAGGCTGTGGAAGATCAGTAGTTCAGCGGTTCAAGACCCGGGTGCCGCAAGACAGGGTGAGCTCCTGTCTCTAGTTCCAGCTCCTGCCAACCTAGCAGTTCGAAAGCAAGAAATTGCAAGTAGATAAATAGGTACCACTTCGGTGGGAAGGTAACAGCGTTCCGTGCGCCTTGGTGTTTAGTCATGTCGGCCACATGACCACGGAAACGTCTTCGGACAGCGCTGGCTCTTCGGCTTTGAAACGGAGATGAGCACCGCAACCCTAGAGTCGGATTCGACTGGCTTTCGAGCAAGGGAACCTTTACCTTTACCTTACAAAGTGTTACTTGGGGAAAACACAGCACATACCTTGGTCTACTCATTTTCTAAAGTCTTTATAGAACAAAAAGAATATCCACTAAATAGATCTTTCATATTGTCTGAATTTAATGTTCAGTTTACTTATGTATTAAAACTTTAATTAACTTGGGGATGTAATAATGTTAACTGATCTGCCTAATGCTCTTATGTGTCTTCTATCTTTCTGCTTACCTGGGAATGCAGCGTCAGCGATGGTTGGTATATCCTTTTCCACGAATCTCAATTTATCTCCTGCAAAATCTGTTAAATTGAAACCATAGGTTTTTTTAAAAAAATGTATTATTCTGCTTCACCAAAAACGCTTCTATACATTCATCTCCCCTCCGCCACAGAATTTTTTTAAGTCATCAGGTTCCCCCCTCCCCTATTTTTAGTTTCCTCCAGATTAAAAATGAGGGGAGGGGTACCGGTTCTTTCTCAGAGGTATTAATTGTTTTCATTTGACTGTATTAATTCGTTTTCCCATGTCACATCGGACACAGTGAAAATTTACGTGCATATTTTAAAGCATACAATCCAGACATGGATATGGACTGTTTTATCATTTCAGGCCTGCAGCATTTCTGTGAAACGCTATTGTGTCGCTGTACCCTTGTTCCTATATACTAGTGGCCATGATGGTTCTCTCTGTTGGGTAGGGCACTTTCACACACAATGGATAACGGGCTCTTTTTGTAGCAGAAACTCCTTTGCATATTAGGCCACACACCCCTAATGTAGCCAATCCTCCAGGAGCTTACAGAGCTCTTCTTACAGGGGCTACTGTAAGCTCTTGGAGGACTGGCTACATTAGGGGTGTGTCGCTTAATATGCAAATGAGTACCTGCTACATATTGCACTTTCAGTCCACTTTCAATGCACTTTAGCGATCATTTGAAAGCAGACTTTGCTGTTTCCCACATTAAAACCCAGTTGCAAAGTGCATTAAAAGTGCATTATTCAGCACGTGTGGAAAGCGCTGTAAAAGGCCAGGGTCCTTTCTGCATTTGCCTGCCACTCTGGATTTTCTCGATGTTTGAGTCAAGGCAATTTAAGTCCACAGCAAAAAAGCATCCAAAAAACCCGGGGCAACAGCAGGCTGAAACTCGGCTGACCACTGAAGGGAGGTAATGTAATGTAGAAAGGGGGGGGGAGAAACGGAATAAAAAGAAGGTTCAACTTGATTTTAGTGCAGAATGGGGGGGGAATAGTTGTTGTTCTTGTTGTTGTTCAGTCGCACAGTCGAGTCTGCCTCTTCGCGCCCCCATGGACCAGATCACGCCAGGCCTTCCGGTCTTCCGCCGTCCTCTGAAGTTTGCTCAACTTCAGGTTCGTTGCATCTATGACACTGTCTAACCATCTCATCCTTTGCCGTCCCCGTCTTCTTTGACCTTCAATCTTTCCCAGCATCAGGGTCTTCTCCAGGGAGTGCTCCCTTCTCATTTGGTGGCCAAAGTATCTGAGCTTCAGTTTCATTATCTGGCCTTCCAGGGAACAGTCAGGGTTGGTTTCTTTGAGGATTGACTGATTCGATCTCCTTGCAGTCCAGGGGACTCTCAAGAGTCTTCTCCAGCACCATAGTTCAAAAGAATCTATTAAATCCTGGATTAAAAAGAAGGTTGAATTTGATTTTTAGTGCAGAATTGCTTGGAGGGCACCGCCGTGAACACGGATTAAGAGGAAAGCGGCGAAAGGGCCCAGGTCATCCCCTTTCCCTCCTCCAGACAGATGATCTTGAGTGTAAAGTGGTCATTTCTCCGCTGACACCCAGTCCTGTATGGATGCCCCAGCCACATGATTCTTCCTACACGCTTTCCAAGATGGAAGAATCTCCTGGGTGCCTTTATGGTGGAGCATCATGGTGGAGCTTCCACTTCATGGATGGGTGAAGAAAAGTCAAGCACCGCCACTGTAGCACATGTGCTAGGCTGTGCCAGTTTGGTGTAGTGCTTTAGTGCGTGGACTCTAATCCGGGAGAACCAGGTTTGATTCCCCACGCCTCCACTTGCAGCTGCTGGATGACCTTGGGCAAGCCATAGTTCTGATAAGAGCTCTCTCAGCCGCCCCCTACCTTTTTTTTTTAAGTTTTTATTTATGTAAAGTTTTTCAAAACATTACACACTTCATCATTTTAGATTATACATATCTTTAGAGTTGACAGTTTGTATTTTCGTCTGATTAGAATATATAAAGACACTTTATATCATTCTAATCTGTTTGACGATCTAATCATTCATATACCCTAAACCATCTCTGTTCTTGACATTTCGGGTCTTTATATTTTAATATTAAACTCAGGTTATCCATTTGCGCTAGTTCCATGAGTTTAATTTTCAAGTCCTCTTTCGTGGGCGCAGTATCTACCTTCCAGTTTTTTGCCACCAAAATACGGGCCGCAGTTACTATGTATACTATCAAATAATTATCTTGTTTTTTGTACCCTCTCGGGATCATATTCAACAAGTATATTTCGGGTGAGAATTCAATCACTATATTCAGTATTTCACAAATGATTTTTTGTACCCTTTTCCAGAACTTACGCATTATACAGCATTCCCACCCCCTACCTTACAGGGTGTCTGTCATGAGGAGGGGAAGGGAAAGGCGTTTGTAAGCCCCTCTGAGAAGTTGAGTGAAGGGCAGGGTATACATCCAATCTCTTCTCTTCTTCTTCTTCTTTTGCTGTTGGGGTTTTTTAGCAGGAAAATTTTTTTGTAGTCCTCAACCCTGGGCACAGTTGTTATCCCAGGAGAGGCGGATAGCCTTTTAAATGCATCGTTTTTGCCGGTATTCGTTATTTACAGATCAAAGTAAAAATGAACCGTTCCTGAAGCACTCAGGCCACCATAAAGCACTTCTTATCTTGGAAAGGTGATCTTGCCAGCAACAGTTTCTGGCTTATGCTGGGCTCTGAAAATGAGCCGTTCTGTTCTCAGATCTGCATCCAGGGAGTTGTGCTCCAGCAACTCCGAGTCTCGAAAGTTCGTATCTTGAAAATCTCATTGGTCTCTACAGTCCCGCTGGACTGGGATCCAGCTGTTCCACTGCATACCAACACAGCTGCCCTCTGGAAGTGCTCCAGCTTGAAAGGGGAATGTGGCAAGATTAGAAGTATTAAAAACATGCCAGCGAAAAGAGGACTCTGATACCATTTCCCTTTTTTTTTCCCCTAGCGGGGTCCTGTACTCCCTGGCATACTAATTGCTTAAACAGTAATATTTGTCCCTTCCAAAAGAGAGATTTTAAAAGTCCTTTCAAGTAGAACTTGGGCCCATTTCCACA